CCAAAACATTTTTGAATTTTTTTAATGAACAAAACGCATGGTTCACTTTTTTTCTTTTTTACTTTTAAAGGAGAACTAGCTATATAGGTAAAGAAAGGAGGTAACAATCCTATATTATTTTATCAAATATCTAACGAAAATAGGTAAAGAAAGTGATTAAAATTTGACCATGTGAATAGTAACTGAGAAAAACGTTTTAGGAAAAATGGAATAGTACTAAAACATATTCTATGTACTAAAATAAGACATAATATTTTTATACCAAAACTAAATTTATAGTGCCAAAAAGTATTAATCCGGCTAATATATAATGTAAATAAATACTACAGAGTATGAAAATACTAGCACACAATATCAAGTTTTTGTATCATATGGAATCAATACTCGAGTTTGATTTTTGATAACTGCGATGGAAAACAACTATGCTAAGGATATGACCTCTACAATTAACATGTGCAAGCTCCACTCTTTGACACTAGTTTACTATCAAAGTCCAATTATCTTCTTTAGATAACCGTCCCGCCGGGTCTAAGGAGACCCTTGGGGATGGGCTCATCTTTTTTATAATCATAAAAGGTCGATCATATTGTGCTATAAACTTAATGTCTTAGCCTATATTTTAAAAAAAACTTTATTTTTTAAAAAAAATTAGTCATAGATTTATTCAATCTTTTGATCATCTTACTAAAGGTATTTGAAATTTCTCCACGGAATAGGGAAGTTGTATTTTGAAAGTTAGACTTTTGCAAACCTTTAAATAAAAAATGTTGGGGCTTTACCATGCCTAGGGTTGAATGGTTGATCAAGACGTTTCTTTGTATTGCAAAAGCACAGCTGATAACCACCGATATGGGTTTGAATTTAGAGTAAATTTTCAAAACAATCCAATCTAATAAGGTATTTTTCCAAATTAGTTCTTAATGAGTAATAACTATCAATATGGTCTTTTATGATTGAGATGTATTTTTTAAATAATTCTCCGTCAAAATTGCATATTAAATGATTGTTAGATAGATGGTATTTTTTATTTTCTATCATCTAAACTATGAATAAGTCTTCAAAATGATCCTTTCAAATTAAGTGTGTGGCTGCTTGAAGAACAGACCATCCCGAGTAGGCTCATGGACTCCATTTCGGGAAAACATTCACTTATAAATTATTAGTTTGGAAAAATACTTAATTGTAAAGGAGCATTTCAAACACATACTTTAAATCTAGATGATAGAAAATACCGAAATACCTTTTATTTGACTAGCATTTAATAGAAAATTTTAGTGGTGGAATATTTAGGGAATAAATCTCAATTACAAGTGACCATGTTGGTCATTATTGCTTATTGAGAACTAATTTAGAAAAATATGTTATTAGAAAGGACCGTTTTGAAAATTCACTCTTGAATTTAGTTACTCTTTCCGTCTCTAAATAATAAACTTGAGTTCAAGGTTTACTTACAAACTATGCTTTTTTTACCAAATTCCTTTTTAATTTAACTTATTTAAATATGATTTAAAATCAAATTTAATTTACATATTTAAAAATTACTGCGTATGAAGTAACCCAAAAGTTCCATGAAGAAGATATTCTACTATTAGAAATCATGAACTTAGATAAATAACGAGTGAAAAGACAACCTTGAAATAATTTGAGCATATAAATATTAAAAGTGACATTTATTTCCGTCTAAAAGTTTTTTTAATCAAAACTTGCGTATTTTTCTAAAAGTTCTCAATATTTCGGGTTAACTAGCCATCAGCCTGCTATCGTCATTGACCACTACCTGCCACCGAGCTCCCTCGTTGCCAACCACCGCCCGGTCATTGCCCCCATCCCATGTCGCCGATACTCACCATTCACCAACGTTGGCCACTTGTCACCGACCACCCACCATTGTCGGTTATTCCCTGCCTCGACTTCTCTTGTCGTAGGCCACTTGCCACCCACTCTCGCTAGAATTGGGGTGGATGCGCAGTTTGCAACGCAAGGAGTGCCAAGGAGATAAGACCTGAGTTCGTTTTCTGACAACTATGCTAAGCATAGGGCCTCTACAAGTAATATGTGCAAGCTCCATTATTTACCATCAATCTGCGATCAAATCTCAATTTATCTCCTCTCAGTCACTGTCCGGCCAGGTTTAAAGGAGACCTTCGGGGATGGGGCTCGTCCTTTTTAGAATGGGTGCGGATGCACTTATTGTGGAATAGGCACTTGCCCTGGTCCGAGTGGATTTCATTTTTTTAAAAGAAATAGGCTGAAATACCCTATTCTTTTACATTTCAAATATGCCGCCACTTAAAAATGACTTGCCCCTATAATTTCTCAAACCTTACATTTTTTAAAAGAGAGTTAAAGCATTTTACATCCTTAATTTCTCTAACATTATTTTTTTGTTTAATATTGTTTTTTAAAAATGTCCGAGGCCGCTTCCCCGGACCCTGCCCTATTATTCCTGCTCACATTCCTCCCATTTTCTGAATCTGCCACTGTCTAGACCCTGTTGCGTTGAGCATGCGATATCGTCGGCTATCTCGTCTATTACTATCGACTCCGGGTGTTTAAGAATATTCTATCCGAGGAATTCGTCCAGTATCCTGATCCCATTCAAAATGGGTATCCAATTTGGTGTTGTTTAACTTTCGGATTTTTCGATGAGATATCCAAAAATGAATCGTATACAGGTTAAAAGTTTAAAATTTCGGATATCCACGAATATCCAAAGTGCATATTCTTTTCTTAAAAAAATAAATATCCTAAATGCATGTTTTTTAGTTATTGCGATTTTTATTTTGCATTTGTCTACTTTTTTTTAATGAAATATCTGTATTTTTGCTTCTACTTCAAAGACGACATAAAGCATTCTAACATTTTACTCTAATTATAATTGTCATTTTGCGTTTTTGCAAGTGTTGGATATATAAGATATTTAAAATATTTCGGATAATCCATTGATCTCAATTCGGATTTTTGGATATATCGGCCTCGAATATCTAAAAAAAATTGATCGGATATGAAATGATTTTTTCCTAGATTCAAAAGTTTTGGATATACGAAATTTTTAGTCGGATCGGATCTTATCGACTCAATTGAATAACATTACTATCAACCATTATTTCAGATCTCTCTAAACGTTTTCAATTTAGATATCAGAGCATACATCATTTCTCTTCTTCATTTTGAAACTCATATCATAACGTACAATTATTTAAAACTCACTAATAAAGCCTTTAACAATTACTCCGTAGATCGTTAATGTATATGAAGGTAACATGTGAGCCTATATGTGTGTTTGTCTATATACATGTATTGATGTATGTATGACCTTATTAGATAACATATGATTTTGGATCAAATGAGAATGGTGCATGTTGGAAGAAATGAGAATCCATATGATCCATAATTTAAGATCTAAGGGCTATTAAAAATCAAAAATTCTGAAAAATTAAAAAATCACGCGGTGGCAATTTTGTAAATAAATTAAATTTTCCAAAAATGTACTACTACAAGTGTAAAATGCATCATAAAAATCTGAAAATGCGTCGTTCTTATATTCGCACAGTAAGGATATTCTTACCGGAACCAACCCCAGTAACATATATATGTATGTATGACCTTAGGTCTAGTATAACATTTATTACCACCTTCCATACCGAATATCTTCTTTACTTGGCTTATTACAAATTCCTCGCAGACATATATTCTTACACGAATCCGGATGTTGAACTTTAAATGCTTGTGTTTTTTGGAAGCACGACACATATAAACAAAGGACAAACATTCATGGCTTTAGTTCAAAATTGTATTACTATAATTGGACTTCGTAAAAATTAATCCGAAAAATACAAACTCGGTTTATCAAAGGTTTTGTTAAACGAAATTGAATATGCCCAAACTCTAAGATGACCCGTTAAAATGGGTCAATTCTGACATAACCTGAACTGAAATCTGATGTGATAAAACTAATGTTATAATTTTATTTTTTTTCTTATTACTCTTAATTTTTTAGTGTATAAATTATTTTTTCAAACGAGTTTTTAACGTTAAGACTTTGTAGTTCACAACCTTTTCTTTTCTTCTAAAAACAAATTTAATCACATAATGTACTTTTGAAACTATTTCAACATTTTTTAATGACACGGAAAACTACCAAACCGAGTAAATATTACCCCGTAAAATACTCTCTTCGTCTCAAAAAGAATGTCACAGTTACTATTTCAACTTCTCAATAGCTTTTGTTTGTTTACTCGTTTAGGTTGACCACTTAATAAAATAATACATTTTTATCGCATCTTGTTTTGTAAAATCTTTTGACATATTTTGAAGAGTATAATTTGTATTTTTTATTTTTCTACCAATTTATAAATAAAATAATTTTTAAAAAAAGATATTTTGCATGTTGTTCAAAATGTTTTAAAGAATTCGGGACGGAGAGTATTTTATAATGAAATACTCTTTCCTTTCTCAAAATATATTTCACTTTGGAGTTTATGATGTTTAGTTAAATTTATTTTTAATTCAATTCATTAGAAGATTGGCGTGGAAACACAACAAAACTTTATATATTTAAAAGTTACATCAAAAATTTTACTACAAAATAAAAGACAATATAACTATACTATTTTATTAAATTAGTAATGACTAAACAAAGAGAGTAGATAAAATTTGTTCATGTAAATAGTGAACGAGATGCTTATTTTAAGATTTGGAGGTAGTATTTTTTAGATTTATTTTTGAATGATACTCCGGTATTTTAGAATCTCTTCCCTGTTGAGAGTCTCCAGTACATGAACAATTAGCTGTAATCGTGCATTATTAATCACATGATGATAGGTTACTCCGTGTTTGTACGTTCTTTTAATCACAGAACTTGTAATATACTAAGGTCCAACCCATACTTTCTCACATCAAATGTATTTTTTTAAATTTCTTTTGAAAAAATAATGTTCATGTCGTAGTAATCATTTGCTTACCACCATCATCTCTGAATCCACGTAAAAATGTGCGAACCTTAGGTCCACTATAGATTTACCGTGCACCTATAGTTAACAATTTTACCGTGAAAGATATGACACGAATGTGTTTTACGGACAATTTCACATATAGTTATTGCATATGTGTAACTGTGACACACATTGTTATCATATATAGTGTTAAAATTGGTGTCTCTATAATATGACCCAATTTTATAGGTGGGCAAGGATTATCCACTTACACTACTTCAATAGATTTTGTTTCTCTTTTGCAGAAAAGGAACTGAAGAGCGTTAAAACTGGCACCTTCTTGTACAAGCCCACAAGGGAAAGCAGAAAGCATATTTAAGCACCGAGGCCATGACACACCAACCTGCAAGAAACCTTCTTTAGCCTTCCCAAACAAGACCCCCAAAAAAATCAAGAAAAAAAAAAGAGTGAAGAATTGCTCTATGACACAATTTCTGCAAATGATTCAAGATGTATGAAGGGATCGCAACTTACAAATGTTTCAAGATGTTATTTTCTGCAACATGCAGTGAAGAGCTTTAGCTCTTAACCATTAAAGTTTGACAAATGGGGTCTTCAGTCTTCATCTTCAACCTGATTATTTTGTTGATTGTGTTTCTGGGCAGTATACATATCTGCAACCTGAGAAGGCGCGAGAAAGAAAAAGGAATAAAAGGTGTTGAGAGCCAACAAGAATTTATGCTAATAAGGTGCTAACATAACTACTGTAGCATTCGGTGTTAAAATGAAACTTGAAGTAATAATTGTGTTCACCATCTCTGCTGACGAGGCCTGTTCTGGAGTCTTGTCTTCTCGAATACGAATCAGACGTGGAAATCGCAGAGAGATTCCCTTTGCAACAAAAAAAGGTGATGGATGAACACTAATTTCAAAATTCTTGAAATTTGAACCCTCAACTCTTAAGCAGCCATAGTACACACATTTATGCGGAGTAATAATATAATACAACGACAAGGAGTATTACTTTGATCGCAGAGAAAATTTTGGAGTCATATCAGAGACCTAAAATATACCTTTTCAGGATCCACAATACCATTGGCTGCACGGTGAACAGGGCTGATAGTAAGGTCTGCGGCTTTTACCTCCCAAACCTAAATGATAAAATGGTAAGACTGAGTAATACTACTATGTTTTACTTCCACTGTCTGGAATCTGGATTCAGTTGTCTAGTTTCCAAAATACCTCAAATTAAAAGTCCAATTTGATTGGGCACAAAAGCTTAAGAAAGGTGTTGAAGAGTGAAGTGTGGATGGAATTGAATTGAAACCGTTGAAAGAAATAATGATGACAACATAGTCCATACTAGAAAAAAATGAGCTTTTATGTTGGGACACACCAAAAACAAAAGAGTGGTTTATTCTGGGACGGAGGAAAGATGATTCAATGGCAAAACTAGTCATTGTGTGCGTTATTTCATGTATGTCACCAAGTATATGGAATAATTTTGTAATACCTCATGAGTATGTTGGGCAATTCATATAATTTTATTCTCCAAAATTAATAACAGGACAACTGATTTTGGATGTCTAAAAAGGAAAGATAGACAACTAACCCCAGACAGAGAGTACGTCTCCAGTAAAAACAGTATCATATACTTATACACAGGTAGAGGAAGATAAGTCTGTACCTCGGTTGGTTCAAACCATACATCTGGATTGAGAGTTTCTCCATACCTGTAATATGACTGCAGATAATGTGTGTCATGGACAAGTAACGAGCACAAGAGACACAGAACTGATTAAGAGAAAGATCAATAACTGATAAAAAACATAACCTAACCTTTGGCTTCGGGATAACTTTAGAACGAAGACTGGTAGAACGTTCTTCAAGCATTGTTTCAGAAAAACCCGTGCCTATCCAGCGTCACTAAAAGTTTAGTATATCGAAAGAGCAATTCCAGCGAGACATTTATTTTTGACAATTTAGTGGCATTCTTATGTGTCAATCAACCAAAGGCAAAAAATCATGTGACCTTTGAATTTGTCAAATTGAAAAGTAAATATAAGTGTATTACTAAATAATAATAATAATAGGTAAAGTTTAAATTAATACTCTCTTCCGGAAAGAAAACCACTTACCGATTTTGCAAATGCTTTGGAACTCCTCATTGTTACTGTCATAGCAAGCAAGTAGGAAAGCACCATAAACACCTGAAAGAGAGTGTCTAAGATTCATCACGAATAATAGCTATGCTAGGGAACCAATTCCTCATTTACTCCATGAGTATCAATATGATAGGTAAAGAGGGATGAGATATAAAATGTAAAATGGCATCTTAAATGAATTTCACAGTGAGCATGTGATTGGTAAGTTCACACAAGATAGTTTACCAGTACGTTTCCCCCGGCCATGAAAAGCAGCGATTGGTACCAAATCAAAGGAGTCGCCAATGCTGCATATCACAAAATAAACATTTTTTGCTCACAAGGATAACAATCAGGAGTATGTAGCTAACTTAACACTTCTACAGCGAATTAGTTTCCTAAACATACCTCTCCATGTAATCTTTTTTCAATTTTAGCCAGTTATTTGAGCGTTTAGAGGGTTCATACGTAGCATCTTTGCTCAGTGTTTTGATGATTAATCCCTCACAACTGCAATGAAACAATGCATGACTTCATGAAAATGTATGCTTGTGGGTCATAACCCAATATAAGAAGTTAAAAAATGAAGACCATAAACCCTTCTATATACTTCGTATTTCAGAACAATTATCCAAACTCCATTAAGGTGATATTTGTAAATGGCATCAATTTTTCTCCCATTCAATGCCTACAATTTGTTGGGGACTTGAGTTTTCACCATAAGGTATGCTGTTTATATTTATGGTCAATGACAATCCACAAAACTTAATGTAGAATGGTTATTTCTAAGGGGGGAAGTGAGTCACCTGCCATTAACAGAAGCTTCAAGGAACTTTGTTATTTCCTCAAGATCATTCGATATAATATTTGTGGCAAATTGGAAAAAGGCAGCTTCTTCCTTAAAGGAGCTATACAGATGCTGCATGAATCCTTAAAATCAAGGTTCAAATGCATAGAATGATGTGAAAAGTATATATGACGTGTAAGTGTAAACGCCTCATCAAAGTAAATGTCATGCATAGATCAATAGAATACACTGCATCAGTATCCATCAAAGCCACGAGTATGACTGACATATAAACATAGCAAGTATTAAAATAATGGTTAAAAGTTTAAATCTTGTTCATAACTATCAAGTCATATTTTGAACTTTGAGATTTGGAAAGGTTATCCGTTATAGGAAGGATTAGTCCAGTCATTAATTTATCGCTGTCATAGATTTAGAAATATCCTCATCCCACCACGAGAAAGTGTGTTAACTGTCAAAGAAACTGGGGGGTTTTATTTTTGTTTTACTTTTAATTTTTTATTTGTTTGTTTGTTGATTTATTGGTGTGTGTGTGCGCGCTGGTGGTGGTGGGGGGAGGGGGGGTATGTCAATAAAAATCCTTGTAAACACAAAGCACTTGAAGGCATCAGAAGCAAGATCTTTCTTTTTAGTTTCGTGCAAAGTGGCATTGTGCCAGACTGCCAGTACAACATTGGAGAACCACTGCACTGTAAACCAGCACTCAAGGTAAGAAACTAGCCAATAACCTAAATGCTTCCCAATGATGTGACCTAAGCACCAACGTCATGTAGGAAAGAATTGAATGGGTATCTTGACTAGAACGCATATTTTGCCCCATGTGTGCCTCCACTCAAGCTTCAAGGAAAAAACTTTAAATGTGTACCAATGTACCAAAAGAAACATCAACAGCTGAGAAATATATCGAACAACTTTACGTTACTCAACTTTTCCATCAATGAAACTTGTAAAGATATTTGGAAAAGAATCAACACAATGGAAAGTAACTTTACCCCTTGTGTAGTCATGTGTAATGACAAACAGTTAATTAGCCTTATAAGAAAACAAACAAAATAAATGAGCACACGCATTGAGCTTTTTTATTTCAACCCCCACACTTTGTTTCTCCATCGTACTAAGAAATGATGTATCTTTGCAAACCGTGCACCCACAAACCATTCTACATGAAAGTGGTTCCTTTACAAAATAGAAATTTGAGGAAAATGGGAATTCATATTAAAAGATATATCCTTTCTTGGCTAAATGGAGAAGCAAAAGTGGTTGTCACAAAATTACAATGCTAATCTTTGTACGACCAAGAAATGTATAGTTTAGATAAAGTCGTAATCCAAAATCACATTTCATTTACAAATTATACAAGACAAAAAATAAACATGTTCACTAATACAACAACAACAACAAAGCCTTATCCCACTAGGTGGGGTCAGCTAGTGGGATAAGGCTACTAGGTGGGGTATGACCAAGAAATGTATAGTGTAGATAAAGTCGTAATCCAAAATCACATTTCATTTACAAATTATACACGACACAAATTAATGCATGTTCACTAATAAAGAAAAAAAATTGTACCTCTCTACGAACATTGAGCTGCTCCTGGATAAGTGGCTGTCCGTTAAGATACAAGATATCAAAGGCAAAGATGCAAACATTCACCTTTATATCACTTGCAACAACATTCTTACGAGCACGTGTGCTAAGGATCTGTCATAAACATGTAATTATATGCACGTGACTGCATAAATATCAAAATGAATATAAAAGGAAAAAAGTAAATGTTTGTAAAGCACCCAATTAAAGCAAGTCTATAAATAAATGATCAAATCAACAAGATGAAGCTAATGGCTCTGACAAAATTCAAGAACAGGTTAACTCTACTGACTGATGCAAGCAAGTTTCAGTGTCAATAGACGAATCAAATTTTTTGAACAACAGGATTACCCAAATAATTTAAAAAGAAGTAATAGAAAAGACATACAAAATGAGCTGCCAGTCAATTGGCTGCAACTTCAAATTATCTAGAAAAGATTTGTGATACAGGCAGAAAATGCAATTACGGAAATGGGGAAAAGGGTGTTTCCCAAAATGAACTTCTCACTGGTGAAATGACAACATGTTAATACAGAATAAAAATACGGGAACGCAAAATTCTTCACATTAAAAATGGTCTTCCTTCCCAGCTAAATACCTGTAACATGGAAAAGAAGGAATAACTAGATAATATATTTACCTGAAAGGGCAGAATTTTCTGCTTCTCACGATCATATGCAACTAATTCACAGTCAAGAACAAAAGAAGTTGTGGAAGGCTTCTTTAATCTGCAACCAGATATCACATATCATGCAGCTGAGAAAGTAAATTGTACAAAATAAAATTCCAATAATCATAGTCTGCAATCAAAGGCTGGACAAAAAGGCTAGAAACTAGGAAAACAAAAAACTTTAAACTCACTCAGATCAGTTTTAACAGCAATAACAAACAAGGAAAGAGTTCTGCCTCACAAAGAACAAGCACAATGCATGGTTCAAACATGAAATTATGATGTGGATAAACTTGATACTTGAGAAGATATAAAGTGTGAATATTGATTCATTTCCTCTTCAGTAACCAAGGTGGCTTTTTAGGGTCTGTTTGGTTCGATGGGAGGGAATGGAAGGGGAAGGATGGGAAGTAATGAGATGGAAGGGGAAAGAAAAGAATGCTTCTGTGTTTGGTTTACAAGAGGAGGGGAGGGGAGGTAACGACCATTTTACTATTATATTTTTATATATTAGTCATTTTTCAAAACATATTATATCCTACGAGGGACATTGATGAGAATAAAGTAAAATTGATTATATATTTATATATATTAGTGATATGTTAAAGCTTCCCTCATCATAACCCCAATTTGGAGGGAATGAATAAAAGGGGAGGGGATGGAGAGACCAATTTTGGATGCGCTCCCCTCCAAAACTTTAGAACCAAACACCGGGGGGATTCATTTTCCCTCCCCGGAAATTAGTTTCAGTTGTCTAAAAATTCAATACAAAAAAGTTATTCCACAATAAAATTCTTCTTTGAACAATGTTAATAATTATAATGCACTTGCAATCGCCACCTGTTTCTGTTTATATTGTATTCCTGAGAGCTCAAGGCTTCACATTTGCAGGTGAGTAAAATTGAATACAAGCATTATTAATCATTTTCATACCTTGAAATAGCAGCGACAACATCAGGAAACTTTCCAGTATTACGTTCTGCATTCCTGCTATATATCTCCACTAACCCATTTTCCATGTAATGAATCTGCAGTTTATGGAGAGCAACTTTCTCAGACATGGCTCTTTTAAGAAACCCTGCCTAACCCTACAGACTGCAGCTTAAATATACTGGTTTGCTGATAAGTGGAATGGCAGCTAGACATCAGAAAGAGATCTGAATTCCGTGATGAAGCACAACCAAAACTTAGAGGGGATCAATATGACACAGTTGATGAATAGAGGATGTGTGTGTTGTATATCAAAATCAGACAATAGATTTGGGCAGGTGGTATGCTCAGGATACATTTTGGGAAAAGAAACCCCATGAAATTCTATGTACAAATGCTAAAGTACATTCTCTTGAGACTCCTTTTCTTTTGGTGTAAAGGGGGGAGCAGTGCTATACGGAGGAACTAATGAATTTCTGAAGTATCATAGAAATTGTATCTCCTGTAGAGCTTCTCGTATTTCTACACATCTTTGTGAATAAATTTGTGTTAACTGCCAAGAATTGAAAAGGATAGAAAAAAGTACCCTAAATATACCAGAAACATGAACTTCATGTGCGGCAGAGGAGTAATTTTGAAAGATTGAAGAAAAGCATGAAAGCAGCAAAGAATTCTGGTGTGCAATTGAACTTACATTTGTGCTACGTATTTACTTACCTGTAATTATATAGCTTTCCTATGAGGGTGGTTTTTAAGAGCAAAACAATCCAGTAATTTCCTTGGCAGCTTTTACTTGCATACTCTTTAAATGGAAATGGCCTGGCACAGTAATGACTAAAAGAGCAAAGGTACAATGAATACCTGAGCACGTTCACCATCATACTTGTATTCACAAGTGAACTCCATATCGTGAAATTTATCAACAATTTCAGATACTCCTTTTGTTGGCTTAGCAAGCATAGGTCCAACTGGAACACCTGGTGAGAAAGAGCATGTCTTTTGAAGGTTCCAGACACCATCCGAAAGTAGGGCAGGGACAATTTTATCATATACTGGGATCACAGAATAAACTTGTTTGACAATCTTCTCGGCCTGGAAACAGATAAGTAAACTCGAATAAGCAACAACTATAGATTGATGCTTCTTACAACTCTACAGGATAGGATACGTTTTTATGTCTATATTGACTCCAAGATGAAAGTGGTCTCTGTAGAGGATAAGCTGTGAAATGCTAGAGTGAGGTGGTTTGGATACATGCTGGGGAGAAGTACAGATGCTAGTGAGGAGGTGCGAGAGGGTTGAGGTACGGGTTTAAGGAGGGTAAAGGTAGACTTAAGAAGAGTTAGAAGGTGATTGGTCACGACAAGCGACTTCAAGATCTTATCAAGGATATGAGCGTCTAGAGGTATGGGATTATGGTGGTAGGGTAGATCGTTTAATCTATGTTTATAGTTCCTGGATGTGTGCTTAGTGTCTAGTTTGGGGGTTTCTGCATGTGTTATTGGGTTTGTATGGGTTCTTACTTTTTTCTGCTACTTTTGGTTGTCGTAGTGCTTCTATGTTTTGAGTCATGTGTCTCTTGGAAACAGTCTCTCTACTCTCCAAGTAGGGCAATGGGTTTATTGTTGTTTAATAAAATGTTAATAATTTAACTTGTGCATTGACAAATGTAAAACTTCAAGACAACAACAACCCAGATGGATCCCGCAAAAGTAGGGTCTGGGGAGGGTGTGCGTACGCAGACCTTGCCCCTACTCGAAAGTAGAGAGCCTGTTTCCAAGAGACCCACGGCTCAAGCTGCACATATAGAAGGACCACAGTAAATACATAAAGCAGGGAAATAAGCACAAATACAACACAGATAAAGCACCAAACACGAGTAAAAAAACAAACTAAAGTTAACGGGGAAAAAAGTACTCCAAGCAAATAGAAAATAGAACCAAGCATACAAAGCACACAACAACACCCCCTAACTCAAGGTACCAACCCAGCTACTCTAATCCTAGCTCTCCAAACACTCATATCTAAGGCCATATCCTCAAGAAGTCCCAAGTCCTGTCTAATCACCTCCTTCCAACTCTTCCTAGGTCTACCCCTTCCCCAACTTCCCCCTACCAATGTAAGCCTCTTGCATCTCCCCACTGAAGTGTCAGCATTCCATGTCTCACATGACTAAACTACCTCAACTTAGCATCCTGCAGCTTATCTTCCACTCGCGTCATGCCTAATTGGCCTCTTATAACCTTGTTTGGAATCTTATCCAGCCTCGTCTACCCACGCATCCACCGCAACATCCGCATCTCCACCACACACAGACGACGCACGTGAGTCTTCTTAACCACCCAACACTCGGCCTCCATACAGCATAGCTAGTCTGACTACGGACCTGTAGAACTTACCTTTCATCCAAATGTAAAACTTCAAGAGATGTAATTGTTTTGGAACGGAAGTACTTTAAAATTTTATACACACACTCATATCCATCAGGTGATGTTCACAATTAAAATACTCTCCATCGTTGATTCTATAGAGCGATGTTCATTATTAAAATACTCCTTCAGTCCCATAAAAAAACTTCTCGGCTTGAATTTTACATAGTTTAAAAAAGGTGTTGAAAAGTGAAAAAGGTGTGGTTATAATTGGTTAAGAGGAGAGAGAAATTTTCTTGGCCATAAATTCTTTTCTTTTAAAAAAAAGTGAAGTTTTTTTTGGACAAACAAAAAAAAAAAGTGAGAACATTTTTATAGGACGGAAGGAGTACAAGTTATGATATCTTGCTTTATTATCCCTTCTAGACATCCTAGCCTCACAAAATGAACCCTGTACAATTCCAACAGCAATCATGAATTTAATAAAATTTGGTGGGATTGGAGTGGAGTTGGGTGGGGGATGGTTGGGCTTTGCACCAGAATGAGATAATACTTGCATACCTCTTCCATAGGAGAGTTCACATTTGCATGAGGTGATGGATGCTTCTCTGAATGCGCAGCGGCATGGCCCAGCGCAGCTAAAAGAGTTTGTTCCGCCAACCCAATGCGTAACTTTGTCTGTACGGAGAAATCGATTGGAGAACGTGAAGATCACTCACAGAAGTAGCTAACAAGCAACTCCAAAACACGGTGTCCTAACCTGTAGCAGTCGGATTAAATATTGAGGTTCACAATCGGTAGCTGCAACTAGTAACGACTTGATGTGATTCTTTTTCTTTTCTTGGCTATCCTTGCCAGATTCCTACAATCATTGATGATTAAATTAATGCGGATTTGTAAAAGAACTACAGCCATTAACTTCATCCAAGTACATCTAAAGGGGGTCTGCACTTACCTCACAAATGAAAAGATTATTAACTTATTATAGGGGAAGAGATAGAGAATGATTGTCCAAAAAAATGAAAGTGTTACCTGTTATGCAACAAATGTGTTTTCATTGTGTTAAAATGAATTTGGAAGTCAAATCCACAAACATCCCTTAATATGGGTATTGTAGGTATGCATAAAAAAGTCAGATCCATAGACATTCCTTAATATTGGTAATGTATGTTTTCATGAGGTTAAAATGGATTTGGAGGTCAGATCATTAAACATCCCCTTATATGGGCATTGTATCAAACTAAGATCAAAATATTTTTAGAAAAAGACTGGACAACAAATTGGACAGGTGACCTGACATTAGCTATAAATCAAATCATATTAAACTTGATTACCTAAGCTATAAATCTAAGGATTCTAAGCGTATTAAAATTGATTACCTTAGCTATAATCCGAAAAGTGTTGAAAACTTTGGCAACAGTTAATGCTTCCGGTTTACGCATCAAAGACTGAGATGATCGACTCGCTTTTGCAACAAGGCCCAAGTCACCCAGATCCTATCATTTGGAACACACAAAGTTATAAAAAGACAGTTTAATATGAGTAAAGGAAACAGTCCATCCAAAGTGGAAATACCCATTCAGTCATCTTATGAGTACATGATAACAATATTACTCCGTGCTAGTTATTAGTATTGATAAGCGATGCTGCGATGAAACTAAAATATGTAACAAGAAAACCCAAGGCTCAAAAGCACATGAAAGTACCTTGGAGTTCTTATGCCTTTCGGACAAAGATTATGCATTTCCGAGTTTGGTTGAGAAATCAAGTAAGAGTAAATGTTGCAATCATTATTTTTCTTACCTTGTATTGCTTCTTGATGTGCGCTTCATTAGCCCCGCAAGCCTCAGCAAGGGCCTTAATAATTGATGCATCTCCAATTCCAAGCTCCAGCCCCTCATGGGCAGGTGCAATCTTGTTTGCAAAAAGGTAAACCACTGGCAACAAGTCATCCGGTGTCGTATGAATTACTGTCCTTAATGCATTGGTTACAATTTCTGTGATGGCAATCCGCCCAGATTCCACTGCAATTGCATCGAACGCCTTGGCTACAAACATGAAGGGCACTCTCTCGCCATCTACCCAATACACGGCCTTTTTTGGGTCAAAATTCTTCTTCTTCAGCTCCTCTACGCTCTCATTAGGACTTATGAACTTCTGTTTCTTAGATGCCAGTTCACCTCCTACACCTGAAGCATCCACGCCACTTATCTGCCCATTTACAGGACAGGCATTCTCAATCGCCTCTGAATTGGTAAGGCCATTTTCTTTAGGAGCTGAGGTGGGAACGGACATCCGCTCGGGAGTTTCTTTTTCAGCGGTTTTGCGTTTCCTTGGAGAAGAATCAGGCGCTTTGAGAGACTGGGTTGGGGTTTTCTTCTTGGAATTGGCCATCAGGACATCGAACGCTGAGCGGCGAGTGGACATTGATCTGAAATTAGGGTTTGCTGAAAAGATTGGAGATTTGGGAGAGAAGGGTTTATGGCAAATCAAAAACTGAATCGAGTTGAGTCTAATAGGACATTGAAGACGGTTGAAGAAGAGCAGGGACTTGGCCAGATGGCGAGAAGCGAGCATCAACTGCGACTCTGGGAGGGCGCCAGTGTGTGACAATGGCGGGAACCAAATTCACCGGCTACCTTTGTCTTCCTTAGATTATTACATGTACAGTTGTAATTCACCCCTGTTTTTGCACTAGGATATGTGGTAAATTTCTTTATTTCTTTACACTCATAAGTGGGTCAAAATGGTAAATTTTTAAATAGTTATATGGTTCACATTCATTAGATAAGTCTTAGGATATGTTTGGTTGGAGGTAGGTAAAAGTTTTATTAGGTAGGTAAAGTTAGGGGTGGACACGGTACGGTTCCGGTACCGTCACCCCATGTCACCGGAACCGTCACCGTGCCGGCCGGTACCAGTTCCGGTTCCCGGACCGGCGGTTCCGGTACTGGACCAGCCGGTTTCGCCCCCTCCCCCTATTTTTTTTTTTTTTGCTTTTTTTAAAATTTTTAAGTATAAAATTTTAAATTTGCAATTGTTTAAGGAAAGAATGAAGTACCGGAATGTAGTTGTTATCTAAAAATGTAGTTGTTATTTAAATATTTTAAATGAATAATACACTAACTGAAGAACAACCACATTTAATATCCTGACGGTTCAAAAAAAGCGACGAGGTAAAGAACTGTAAAGAAACCCTCGAAGGAGCTTATATATCGCTCAGCTAAAAAAAACTAATTACATATTTACATTAACAAAAAAAATTATAACTTATTCTTCAGAACTCGGACTTCCATCTGTTGTTGCATTCATGTAATGCTCCGATTCGAGTTGGTACGTTGACTCTTGAGCTCGACGTCTTGCCAAGAGCCAATCTTGGTTGCAAACAAGTGTTTCAAGAGATTCAGCGCTAAGACAACTTCGAAAGTCGGTTAGAATGTTGCCGCCAGCACTGAATTCTCGTTCAACTGCTACGGTTGATACCGGAACGGATAACACTTGTCTTGCTAGCATGCCGAGACATGGGAACATGTGTTCGTTCCGCTTCCACCATCCGAGCACGTCAAAATCCACTTCGTCTTCATCGTAATCGCATGGCACACCCTGGTACATAGCAAGTTTGTTGTGCGAGCTTACTGTTGTACCACTTGAACTCGTCGAAGAATGAGCACGCTTCCCTTTCTTTGCAAGAAGCCCACCAACTATTCCAGCAAAACCTTTTTTTGATTTCGGGGGCGGAGGTGGTGCTGTTTCTTCTTGTACAGTGCCGTATAACCCTTGATATTCCTCAAACAAATTCTCAAAAAAAGTTACAGCATTATCTCTTTCTTTTTTCCATTCTACT